ATTAAGTTTACTTTGATTAGAACACTTGCTAAAAACAACACTCACTTGGAGACCGCCACCACCAAATTGGCCAGTTTTGATAATTATCAAGCGTGGGAGTCCTCTACTTGGAGGCATTTTGATATAGTGTTTTGATAAATAAATAATAGATGACTGCAAATTGGAAGGTGTACGCTAAAAAACTAATTTCTACGCAGCGTATATAAAAATAAGCTTCTCCAGTAGTGTGAATACTATTGCGCACAAAGACACCCTCTCAATCGAAATGTTTGTCAAAGTCGCCTTGACCATTAGCTTGTGCCTGGCTGCGGCAGCCAGTGCCGCCCCAGCTGATGATCCGGCCGGTCCCCAGCGAATGGTGAAACTGGCCCACTCAGTGGACGTTTTTGGCCTCAATCTGCTGGCGCACCTGGAGCGAGCAGAGCCACGCACCGATGAACCAAAAAATGTGCTCATCTCTCCGCTAAGCATCAGCTCAGTGCTGACCACCCTTCTGGCCGGAAGTTCCCAGCAGACTAATCATCAGATTCACCGAACGCTTGGGTAAACTACTACAATAAGCAATACTTTGAGATATATTTGCTAACAATTCGGGTACCTTTTGGTTTCAGTTACGAGCACGAACACTTCAGCGAAAAAGAGGCGCTAGAGAACTTTCGCCACCTTCGCAGTCGTTTGAATGAACAGTTGCGCAAAACGAAAAACATTCTAGAGGTGGCCGACGCAGTGGCCGTTCAGAAAAATTACCCCGTTTTGGAGAGTTTCTACAAGGATCTGAACGGTGAAGAGATCATGACAAAAAATTTTCGCAGCGAGGCACACAAAGCGACTGAGGAGATCAACAAGTGGGTCAAGGAAAAAACGCACGACAAGATACAAAAGCTTTTTGGACAGGACCTGGACGCCAGTACGGCAATGGTTCTCCTCAATGCAGTTTTCTTCAAGGGCGTTTGGAAGCACCGCTTCAATCACACGTTGACAATGCGAGAACCATTCAACTACTTTGGCAAGGGTGGCGTCAAGCGTAGCGAACAAGTAGAGATGATGAACATCCGTGGCACCTTTGGACACGCTCATTTTGAGGATGGCGACCTTCTCGAGGTGCCCTTTGTCAATGACTCTACCGTCTTTCTGGCCTTCCTTCCCAGTGAGAAGCATTCGGCTGACCTGTCGATGATGAGCTCCATCAGCGCTCTCTTTGGCGCCTCCGAGGAGTCTGTAAACAGTGTGAAGTTTGCCGATCGACTAGCTCACGTTCGTCCTCACCGAGAGGTGAAGGTGCACCTGCCCAAGTTCAAGATCGAGTCAAAGTACTCACTGAACGCTGCGCTTAAACACCTGGGCCTTCGTGACGCCTTTGAGCAGGGACACGCCGACTTTAGTCGCATCAACGGAAAGCGAGACCTGGTAGTCAGCGATGTCGCCCACAAAGCCTTCTTTGAGGTGAATGAGGAGGGAGCAGAGGCTGCGGCGGCCACCGGCGTTGTCATTGTGCCCACCAGCGTTCAGTTGCCCGTCACCTTTAACGCTAACCGACCCTTCCTTTTTATGATCTACGATAAGGAGTACCAATTGGTGCTCTTTGCTGGAGTTGTCAATAAGCCTTGATTTAGAATAAAAGTTTAGTGTTTTTATCAAAAAATGACTCAAACAACTCATACATTTTTT